AAATAGATTTACTATGCTGTGCTTTATGATGCGAAAGATGTCAAACATTTTTATTATTTATTTTAGTATGATGCAAAGAAAGTTACACTGCATCAACATTCAAAATGCTGGTTTTAAGTTGCCTGGGCCCCAACCGCTGGAATCGGCAGGAAATACGTAAGTTCTTCATGTGTTAGTCGTCTTTGCTGTCAATTAATATACAAAGTTTTTCTATGTCCAGGAAGTGTTTATTAAAAGCAAGAATTCTCTTTTGCTATTAAGATTCTTTCCCAATCTTTTTTTTTCTTTCAAAATAATCCCCACGTTTTGAATCTTTAGGTTTGTACTGCAATTATTGACTACTGTTTACAAAATGGAATTCACAATAAATCCTATATTAATCACAGAGCCTACTTCCGTCTCTTAGCAAATATATACAAAGAAACAAAACTTAATATTTTTTTTTAAATAATATTTGATGATGCATTCAGTTTTTGATCAGAGACAGATTTTCATTACTTGACAACAGACTAGGACATCTACTCAAGTTAGAAACGAAATGGCGCCAGTGAATGTCGCTTTTTTCCCAATATGATCGACCGGGTACACTCAGTCAATTTTAGGCACCGGCTTCATTTGGTCTCGGCTTGCGTAGCGGGTGGTCCAGCACTTGACTTAATCCGCTCATAATCTCGCTGTTATTCATAAATCCACAGTACGTAATCTTCAGCTTCCAGAAGATGCTGATAACTGATCTGGACACTGATTATCAGATAATGCCCAAACAGACAGGCGTCATTATTTGTCTGTTTGTCCATCTGTCTTAATCAATATTTACGTGTTTGTCTGTCTGTCCCCAGAGTGGCTCTCGTGAATGGACTAAAGAGACTGATGCAGAGACACATGACGAACGGAGATTTTGATGAAGGATAAATCAGATGAATCTAAATGTTGTTAGACGTGTGAAAAAAATTCATTGGCCCGCTCAAGATGACAATTGAACAAAATAAACGAGGCATCGAATGACAAAACAAATAGGTGTAATTTAAATTATTTAGATTCAGGACTATTTTCCTCATCTTTGTTGTTGTTATCACAACATTTTGGATGTTGTTCTCTTTCACCTTCTCGATGTGTTTCAGAGAATTTCGAACTGAACGCTTTATTTAATCGATAAGGGCCAATTGTTCAATTCCTGGACCGGGTAGTACAACCTTAGACTCAGTGGGTGATTTGTAGGTTGGTTGATTTTGTTTAGCGACATATCAACCTCTATAGATTATTTAATGCCCAAATCTAAATCTGTTGAACACAATTTTATGGATTCATCTAAATATATACTATCAATAGGTATCGTTGATAATGTAATTATAAATAGGTATTATTGGTAATTTTACAATAAATATCTATTGTTGGTATTCTTTATATAAAAATGTATTTTATACTTTCATAATGTTTTTAATTTTTGTTTGGGGTTCATTATTTGACCATAGCTGAGATGCTAACAGTTGCCCTCCCCCCACCCCCGGGCAAGAGAGGATCTGGGAACAACAGTAATTAAGAGGTGCTTCTACGCTTTTCAAATCTACTTATAAGAGGCCTTGCTATTGGATGTAGTTTATGGTCATATCGAGGACTCTATACTCAGTGGACAGAGAGCAAGCAATAAGCAGTACTAAATAAGAACAAGGCGGGATATCTCCAGGCATTGGCAGCGGAACGAGAACGTTCCACCTGCAATAATAAATCCCTGTGGGACTTCTAGTTCTCTCAGAATTGCTACGCTTAAACGAGCCCGCTGAGAAGACACATCTGCGCCTTAAGCTAGACCCCTTTCTCTTTTTGTTTAGTTACTGAATTAAGAAGTTTGTTCCCAGTATATATTCAACGGTTGAACCGGATGTTGAAGAGGGCTACGCATGACGGACAAGATACAGAAGGCGCCTCTCGAAATTATAAGATTCAGCGACAGTTCGTTGCAGTTTCATAACTGGATTCCGCATGTTTCATATGTGACATAGAGGAAGGTAATGAAATCAAGTATGTGGGTCTCTTTCTAGCAAGTTGAGGTCCACCTTAAACAAATTCACGCGATCGGCGCTATCTTCTACTGTGATTTTCTTCCACCATCAATCGACTCTTTCAAAACCATACTCGGATAGGGAAAGGAAGACGGAAGCAGGTTTTCGTGAAACTGGAAGTTTCTAGTCCTGAACCTTCATGTTGGCGGTGGTTGTAGTCATCAATGTTATCATCATGATGAACGTTATCAAGAAAGTTTAAAGTAAATTCTTAGACGCGAAATAAAGTCGTCAAAGACGACGACTACGATATTCTGCATTATTTTAATACCATTCACAAGTAAATTAAGTTTCCCTGACAGTTCAAATAGATCTTCATGTCGTACCTTATCAAATGCTTTTTCGTAGTCGATGAAACATAAGTGCTTCTACTTCCGTATTGCTCTTTCTGATACCATTCTGATCATATATATAAGGGGGTTCTTCTTATTACAGGAGGATATAAGCGATCATGGTTCTACGCAACTTCCTATCCTGTGTGGCACTTAACAGTTCTTCTCCCTTTTATTAAGTCTCCAGTCCCTCGTTCGACCATCCATTCCCACAAGCTCGTCTTTTTAACCCCTCTTGCCCTCAATTTGCTCCATGAAGTTTATATTTTCCCAGTCCATCCTCATTGTGTCCAAGGAAATTCAGCTGTCTTTTCCTAATTGTAAGTAGAAGTGTTCTTTCTCTTGACATTTTCTTTAAGACTTTCTTGTTGTTTACTTGCCCCTTCCATGGAATTCTCAATATCCTTCTGTAGAACTACGTTTCTGCTACGTCAAGTTTTCTCCCAATCTATTGTGAGATGATTCAGCATTCACTGCTATATAAGAGGATGGACATCACAGTGTAATCCAGCCATTTTCTTTCAAACGATTTTTTCCGTTTCCCACCATCTTGATTAGCTCTTGAAATTCTTCTCTCGCTAGCCCAGTGGTTCCCCAACTTTTTTCCCCTGGGCCACATTTTCGGAATTAAAATTTGCTCGCGCCTCGCCACATCTTATGTGATAAAAAATACATTTAAAAATTAAAAAAAAAAACAGAGAGAAGGTTAAAGGGAGATAACCACGGATTCGTAGTCAGAACATTATCATTGATAACTCTCTCATCTAATTTGCGGACCCGTGTTACGATATACTTAATACTTGCTATAATGCAAAAATATCACAATGACAAAATCAGCCAATAATTGTCTATATTTCTGCTAGGCTACAAAAATCTCCTAAAACGGCCAATCATAGAAATGAATATATATATGGGAACCAGTAATACAGAGTGCTAGAGAAAAGCAATAATAACAGCAAAATTGCAATATGAGCTCTGGTAAAAATGGTTACTGAGACATTAATTTTATAATTTCCCAAAATTCATACACTGGCCCAGTGTATAAAAGCGTTGGTTGGATCCACTGACAATGAGTTGTGAGTTCAATACCTGACTACTGCAGTGGTGAACGAAAACATGGAGAATTAAAGGGAGATAACTAAGACACCTGGAAGAGGTATGGCTCGTAGAACTAGAACAATTTACTCCGGTGGACGAAAGAAAGGATTCAATTTGAAATTCCAATCAACTGAAGAAGTGCACAGCTTACAAAGGCCGAAATGTCGTGAATATAGCAACAGTCCGAACAATGTCAGCAACGGTCAATAAGTATTTATACTGGGACTCATGGATACAATTACAAGTAATCCATAAAGTTTTTAAAACCTGTTTCTAAATATTTGATTGTTTGTCAATCATTCCGTCTCATGTGATATCCTCTTCTGTCTGAATGTGTGTGAACCACTGCGCTGCGCTGCCCCAACTCGTGTTCAGATCTCGGTGTTTCATTTTCCATCCTCTCTTAAAACACTTTACAGGTATTTAAACTTCTACACCTGCCTGATGTTTATAACTCGCATCTTGGGATTTTTTCTCCTGCTGATGACCATGCTTCCTGTCCTCACACAGTTGATGGTTAGTCCTTTTATTCTCGCTCTCTGCGACCACCCTATCTATGAGGTCCTGTAGTTTTATTTCCGTGTCGACCATCAACACAGTGTCCTATGTGTCTCTTATATAGCTAAGATTACACCCAGCGATAATAAATCCAGGTTGGGTCTCTAGTTCCCTTGAGTTATCGTCTCTGTAGAGATTGAATAAAAGCGTGGAGAAGACTAAATTGGTGGTAATCAAGTGTGATTAATTTATTTCCAAAATTGAGCATTTTTCTCCTTGTAACAATCATGTAGACAAAGTCAACAGGACATTAGACAAAGCTTTACAGATTCAAATGTATGTAATTTTCCTCTCCATTTCACTTATAACAAAAACCAAGCGTTCTTCAGTATAGTTCTTGCACGATTACTCATAGAAATAACATGTTTTAGAACTTCGTAAAACCTTGCAATTTATTTTTTTTTTTTTTTCAAATTATACTTTTATTCACTTTTTACTTTTGCACCTGAAAATAAATCTGTACATATGCGTGTATGTATTGATGGCTGCAGAGTAGGCGTGTGCGTGTCGTGGTGTAAGCAGGTCTCTCTTTGGAAAATTACCTACAGGAAAAAAAAGTTATATGGACTTTGTTCGTTCATAATTTCATATTCATAAAAGCTTCATTTACAAGAATCAATTTATGGCCGTCGGAGAAATAAAAAAAAATGAGAATGGTGACCTCAGTCAGTGGAGTATGTGAACCGACACGAGAGAGTAGGTTCATAATCTGTCAACATTTGAAACCTCTTACCAGATAGATAAATAGAGGTGGGGGAGAAAGAAACAGACAGAGGGGAAAAGATACGTATGAATTTAAATATATACAGTCATCTATGCACTTTGTATATTTTGAAATACACCCACACGCACGCACGCACACACATACATACATACATACATACATACATACATACATACATACAGATAGATAGATAGATAGATAGATAGATAGATAGATAGATAGATAGATAGTGTAGACATAAGATAACCGCAAGAGCAATAGAAACACAATGCGGTATACGGACTAACAGAAAGAACAACGGAGATCTGCTCGGAGTAAGCTGATTTAAAATCCAGCAGACGTTAACGGCTTCAATACAAGAGTTTTGTATTTCATATGTGGCATGCAAGAAGGTTTTTCTCGTCAGAGTCTATCTTATACATTTACAAATCTACCGTGTATTGAATACTGTTGCCATATCTAGTCTGCTGCCCTTGCTGTTGATCTCGAGGTTCATGATAAAATCCAAAGATATGCAATGTAACCGATCCTGACTTCACTTTCTCACAGACGTGATGTGGCTTCGCTCTGACTTTTCTATAAATATTTCCATGCCAACTGCTCTGACGAAGTTTTTTTTTGTTGTTCCCCGACTACATAAATTTAAGTGTGCTACTAGATTGGCACCTAGGTCCCACCTTTTACTGTTGAAATAGTTAAATGTAACCATCACTTCTACTCCAACAGTTTCTTTTCTCGTACTTCCCGATAGTGGAACTCCGTTTCGCTTATGTACTTCCATGAAGGGAAGTACGTAAGCGGAAGGAAGTTCAAAAATTTCAATGCAACGTCAATCACCATCTTCTTTTGATTTGAAACCCGTTCATCTTTTATCCCTTCCTCAATCCCCCTTATACTCTGTTTTTTTTTCTCTCACTTTCACTCTCTCTAACCCCCTGCGTACTAGTGGCACACCCTCCTTGCTTGTGGTGAAATGACACAAAAAACCTGAAGACGCTAACATAGCAGGCGAAGACGAAACACGTCATCATGAAAATATAGTTTTAAGAAATACTAAATTTACGGGTAAAACTGATCGATATCGGGGTTAGAGCATATGTAACTAATATAAAAGTGGACACTGATGTCAACAGCTAGTGGCAACAGTCATTTTAATTCTTGAACGCATCTTTAATGGCCCGAAGTATGTGTTTAAGCATGAAACATACTGTCTACTCAAGGTGTTGACCTCATTCACTATCTTTTATATAATATATACATATATATAAATGCGTGTGTTTGAACAATTGAATGTGAATATATATAAAATGTACGTATTATATATATATATATATATATATGTGTGTGTGTGTGTGTGTGTGTGTGTGTGTGTGTGCGCGCGATGGGTAAATTGTCGTTATTTTATATTTTAATTTCGCGCATGCGTGTTTGTTTTGTTTTTTTTTTATTTTGTCAACTGCTCAGTATAGTAGGTTCAGTTTGGCACCGTCTGTGAGAAAAACAGCACCATGACGCAATTCACCCCGCCAGAAAATTGGAAACGGCATACTGTACCGCTTTGTATTCAGAACGAAGCTCCAATACAAACATTTCAGGATATTTGGGTGTCAATCCGAGGACAATGCAAAGGATTCGGAAAGAGTTGGATGAGTCTAAAGGTGATTATGAAGGTGTTTGGGAGTGATCACTAGTGATGGCAACGTTATGCTTCTATTCTTCTTCTCACAGAGCCACAGACTCAACACGGAGGCCTACATTAATTGTCTTGAAGAGGTAGTGCTGCTCTGGGTCAAGAGGGTGTCTGGCAACAGGATTCTGCACCATGCCACAAAAGCAGAAGAAAACATTCATAGTTGTCCGACAAGTTCTGCGACCACATTACCCCTTATACCTGGCCACCTTTCTCTCCAGACTGCAACCTTCTTCATTATTATGTGTGGTACGCAGTTGGGCGAGTGACCAACAAAACTCATTGTAACACCAAAGATGAACTGAAGGCAAGGATTCACCAACCTAAACAAGAAGACCACCCAGAAAAAAATGCAGATGATTCCGAAGTTGTCAGAATGGCGATTTTATTGAACAAATTTACTCTTTAGTATCTCAAGATATTTTTGTTTAATTTTGGTAAATATATCTGTTAAAATGAGATTTCAATGTTATTTTTCATTTTTGCGTAATTTTGACGCCAATTTGCACATCGCATCCTCTTTGTGTATGTGTAAGTGTGTGTTTATGTAGATATGTATGAGTGAGTGGGTGTTAAGGCGTGTGTAAAAACATATGTAAAATAAAATACATACAATATATTGAACATTAAGCAAAACGTTGATGATGACATTGTACTATATCGAAAGTGCTCAGAATAAATAATGTGAAGCAACAAGGCGATTTTCCCTCGTCTTTCAATAACCAAAAAAATTGTCCGTGTATATGAAAGGATCCAATTGAAAATAATTAGACAAAACCTGTCTAACATATTCAAGGAAACATATCTATCTATCTATCTATCTATCTATCTATCTACCTATCTATCTATCTATCTCTCTCTTTCTCTCTCTCTCTCTCTATATATATGTGTGTGTGTGTGTGTGTGTGTGTGTGTGTGTGTGTGTGTGTGTGTGTGTGTGTGTGTGTGTGTGTGTGTGTGTGTGTAATAAAAAGAAAGAATAGTAAGATATATAATCCGGTGTTCTTATAGGTACTTTTATTTTTACAAAATAGTGCTCGATTTTTGAAACATGGTTAGAACTGTGTAGCGGAAAAAACATATTTCAAATCAATTAATTCATAAAATATATATATATATATATATATATATATATATATATATATATATATATACTCTGTCTTGGTCATTTATACATAGAGCCCTGTCTATTACTTTTGAAGTAGGTGTCGGTCTTTTGATGTTTTATTTATTTATTATGTTTCATTTATCTTTTATTTATCTTGTATGTTTCATGTTCCATTTTTTATTGGCTCTAGCCTTCGTCTTGGGTTTTGATGTATTGGGTTTTTTGATTTTGATTTTTTTATGTTCTTTGGTCACTTGGCAGGCTTTGGATTGATTTTCTAAATACTTTCGCTACTTATTTTGGCGCATGCCCACACACAAACACACCTTTGCTTTCTTTTTGACTACCTAACTAATTTTTTTTATATATATACTGAATTTAAATTTAATCCTTCACAGAATTTTTAAATAATTAGTGTTGATATAATTTAAATCATAAACTTAATATTTGAAATATTATTAATATTATATTGATATAATGAGATTGGTTATATTTAAATAAAATTAATATATTAATAATTTACACATTTTTTTACTGTATCGTTTACTATATATAAAGATGTATTATTAAATGGATTAATATTAACATTATTTTATAAAAGTATTAATTTTAAATCATTACTCCCATTCTATAATATTTTAAACTCCTGTCTGAAATTTCTATGCTTTATTTTTTTTGTTCATTCATCTTCCTTGCACAGGTGTTGATCAGTGACATTTAGGTTAGCGTTCATTTTCAACCGTCGCGTTTATCAATACCGGCTCCATCAGCATTTTTTTGTCTAGGATGCTACCTGAATTTTACCAAAAATAATATAATTTCCATGCCTGAAGATGACTAAATGTACAGTCGAAAGTACCTGCGTATTTAAGAAAGACCTTATACAGCTTATAATTTTTAAAAACAAGGATTATAACATTCATCGAATGATTAGTAGGTTAATGCATCTTAAAAATTTTATTAGCGATGGGATGTCGCCATTTTATGTCATTAACTTTACTAATTTACTTTTTGTATGAATGATTCCTTGTAATATAAATTAAACTGCATCACATATTTGATATATATATATATGTGTGCGTGTGTGTGTGTGTGTGTGAATTCATTCAAGGGATAATCAATGCCACTATACAAACCCACGATAAAAAATTTATGACAGAGACACTTAACTGCTCTAAGGAATCAACAAAATATAAAGGAATCTATATTACCCCCGCGGACAAGGTTTTTTTTGTTTTTGTTTTTTTTTTGGGGGGGTAAGCGTTTCACCCCAAGCAAGGCGGGAAGCCACTAGGACGCAAGGAGTTACAGAAGATTTGTAGCAAGATCAGATAGGAGTGAGAGAGGAAAGGATGAGGAGAAGGATAGTGGATAGATCAAGGCAACTGGAGATGTCGATTGACATTACATTTGAATAGCTGGAGATTATAGCTCTCAGGGAAACTGGAATAGGGAAGGGAGTTCCACAGGCGAGAGGTACGAGACATGAAGCTATTGGAGTAGAAGAGACGGCTACATTTAATAGTTTCAACAGTGAAAGGGTGAGACACAATGAATAAGAACTGATACGATGAATAAATTAATTCACCACTAAATGAAACCGACCCATACGAAAAAAATAAGCGAAAAGAAAATAATTATTGAAACACAAAAATTTAATAAATCGATTAGGAATCCAATTAAAAATGATGATAAATCATGGTATAGTTTAATAGACTATTTCCCTATAATACCCGAACCTTACGGTTTCCCTAAAACCTACAAAACAGGCATCCTAATGCGCCCTGTTATTTCAGGAATAGACAAGCGTCCTCCACAAACTGACTGAAGCCATAACAAAAATTTTAACGCCTCTACTAACAATCAATCCATCACAATATGACTGACAAACTCATGCTCAGTTTAAATATAAACTCACTTTACACTAACGTCCTAAAACATCTTTAAAAAGCATGTAACACAATTAATAATAAACCTCTCCCTATCAACAGCTATAATAATAAGAATATGTCTTTTATCACCAATCAATGTTATTTCACATTTAATAATAGTTTTTATAAACAAAAAATTTGATTATCAGTAGGACCGCCTCTTAGTAGAGTGATGCAAGTATTTCTTAGAATTTCTCGAAACTGGTCCTTTCCAAAATAATCAATATACTTCCGATATATTGATGGCACTCTATTAATATATCAGCGTGATACTGATTTATCTGATCTTGTAGATAAACTAAACAAAACCGAACATACAATAGAATATATATCCGAAAAGGAAAAAAACAATACTTTACCTTTCCTAGATATCATGCAGCTTAAAACTTAGTAACCACCGAAAATTAACTAATAAAAATGATTTAATAAATTTCTATTTCCATTGTAACAACAATGGATTAATCATCGGAATATATTTAAAAGCACTCAGAATTTGCAACCCTGAATATCTACACAGAGAGAAGAAATATATTGAAAATACTTTCAAGATTCTTCAATACACTGTTTCATATTCAATACGAAACAAAAGGCTTATAAAATATTCCAAAATAGAAAAGCTGTTCTTTCTGACAAACCGAACGAAGCAAAAAATATATTGTTCTACTCACTAACACTATAGCAAATAAAATCGAAAAGAATTTATCTAAACTCAACGTAAAATTTGTCACAACTACATCTACAACAATAAAATTCTTAATCAATACAAAATAAAAGGAGCCAAAACTTGAAGGAGGAATTTACTTAAGGATTGCTAGAAAGAATATATTGGAGAAACACCAAGAAGTTTGAATAAAAGATTATATGAACACGAATAAGACATCTTTAAAAACCAATACATTAAACACATTTGATGCTCACTATGACGAGACTGGTCACAATTCTAACATAAAAAAAATTCTACTCTATTTAAAAGAGAAAATTCACTAAGACGAAAATGTTTAAAAACACTTTAATCGCTTGTTCATCCACTGTAAATTTATGTCCAGGTTCTTACAGCTTTTCACCACTTGGTAGATCTTCTGTTATCACAGTGTGGTATCATACTTATTATAAAACACAGGCTGTGTGTGTGTGTGTCTGTTCGTTTATATATTGGATCGGACTTCCTACATTTTTCAAACGATTTCAACAAAACTTCACAGGACTACGTAAAATTATCTTGCGGTTGTTCTGACAGTGCCAAAAATTGGAAAAACACAATTGTCTTTGCATGAAATCAATTTGAAAACACGATTAAGAGGCATCGCTGTTTCGAGAATGAAAGGGGGACAACTCATATCGAGTTATACATATTATAAAACCCAGGTTGTGTGTGTGTGTGTGTGTGTGTGTGTGTGTGTGTGTGTGTGTGTGTGTGTGTGTGTGTGTGTGTCGTTTATATATGGGATCGGATTTCCTACATTTTTCAACCGATTTCAACAAAACTTCACTTTTTTTTTTGGCAGGTAGTGTTTCTTATTGTCTTGCACACTTTTTTCTTTATTTTTACATTCACAATGCTTTAAAAATTCCATTTACAAGACAATTGTTTATAATAAAATTCTATTCAATCGATAGACTCATAACGATTGAAAACAATGTTTTTGTTTGAATTTGGGCTTGACCTATTCGTAAAAAACAAAAAAAAACTAATTAAGACATGCGTGTCCGTCAACCTTAAACAATAATCTTTGTCAATTTTATTTTTCAGTCTTTATGATGGTCGATACTTGATCTATCTCTTACTGTTACAACGCCGGGCTCTACTGCTAGTATTTAATAAAAAAGTTGACGGATACAAAAATAATAATGAAATTGGCTAGATTATATACCTAAACACAGAAATTTTAAACTCCCCGCGTCTCTCATTCGTGAGCATGTGTAGTCGCATAAATCAACCAATACACAATTGTTACACAACCACTACGTTATTGCACCGGTGAAAATGTCATTTATCTGATAATAGTTCAATTAAATCGCCTATCACCAACCAACGCAAATCTTTTCTAATAACACAAAAATACTATATGATATAAACTGTCAAATAAAATACTACAGATACGATAAGCATTAAACATAAAAACAAAGAATCACACATCAAGAAAATGCTGTCAAATTTAGGTGCTAAACATACTTCATGAATAAAAATGCAACGACATTAATGACATGTAGAGGCACAATAATCTAAAAAAGAAACAAACAAAAAACGTCATGACACGCGAAGTCGTGATATTTGAAAAATGATGAAACTAACAATTGACAATGGTTTATGAAAGCCAAAAGTACTTAGGCATTGAGCAATTTATATTTATTTATGTTTCTGATAAATTTCCAGTTTTCAAGTCCGTAATAAGATTTGGGGAAAAAAACTTTTTATGCTAACGCATTTCGTCCCTTCAGAAACTTTATCAAGTCTAGTGTAGAAATCTTAATTTACTAACCGGTATTTATACACCTAAATAACGTGGAGAAAAATAAAATAAAGTTTTCAAATTTTGAATTAGAGGACACACTCTAAAATATTCTGAAAACTGTGTTAAGAAATATTAAACAATGGAGGGCGCTATATGACGTATATTTTCCGTCGATTGAAATATTGCCTGGCTATAATGTTTTGAATGGAATGGAAGATTTTAAGGAGATGGTAGGTAATGTTATATGTCTATTATTATCTAATTTATTATTATTGGTAGTGTTATTATTATTATTGTTATATATATATATATATATATATATATATATATATATATATATATATATATATATATATATACTTACTTTCCCTGACGATCCGTTTAGGTGAAACCTAGGTAGGTTTGTCTGGCTCACTAGGTGTATCTAGGTCTGCTCTACGGTTGTATTGAGCGCTTTTGTTAGTTAGTTGGTTACTCGTATCGAGTTTTTTTCTTTGGGCTTCAGACCTGTATCTGTGCGATTTTTTTGTCGGCGGAAGTTCATGTTTGTAGCTCTTTCTTTTTTTAAAACCTTTTTTCCCTCGAGATTGATTTGATTATTAGCAAATCAAAAATTCGAGGGCTTTTCGAAACGAGTTTAGTTATCTATAATTATATATATATATATATATATATGTTGTGTAGGAAACCTACCACCCCTCTTGAAGATGAACTTGTCTACAAACAAAGACGTTAAATAGTGGCATGTCAAAAGACGGAGAAGTTCTTGGCTGAGTTAGTTATAGACTACTCAGGCGATTTCTGTACCTACTTACCAACCGAATAAACCCCTTTTATTTGTTACGTGTTATTTGGCGTTTGTCTTTATTAACCCAAATCAACATCATAACAATATATATATATATAAAAAGGGTGTTCTAATAACTTTGAATGTGAATTAAGTTTAAGCGTCTAACCATTTTTTTTTCTTTCAGATTTAACAACTTAAGTCTTTGGCAATTTCAACCATGGAAAGATTAACAATCAAACAACGTGTTAAAATTATCGATACCTATTATGAAAATGGACGTTCAAATTTATAAATATACGGCCCAATGATTCCCCTAGCAAAAAATACGCACCAAAGAGTGACCTTTTGTGGATACAGTGACTTTTCAACAATCTTCTTTGCATTTTTATCAGCCCAAATGAGACAATTCTGCTTATTAAGCAATCCACCAAGATGAAAATGGATTTCATCACTAAAGAGGATTTTTTGCAAAAAAATGTTCATCGGCTTGTTTTTGTTCGTGCACCCAATGGACGAATGTACGAAACTCCAAATAGACAACAGGTTTCAGTTTAGTGTCAATTGAATTTTGTAAGCGTGTAGAGACAAATCTTTTGTCAAAATTCGATGTTTGAATTTACGAAAAAATTTTCCAATTGAATTCTCGGTTGGTCGATTATATTGACCAAAAATTCGCGAAGTGCGTGAAATGCATTTCTGTTTGAATGTCTGTTTTCGTAATAGGCTTCGATAACTTGAGCATTGTTTTCATAATTAAAATTGCCAAAGACTTAAGTTATTAAATCTGAAAGAAAAGAAAAAAATCATTAAACTCTTAAATTTAATTCACATTTAAAATCGCTCCAAATTATCAAATTATTGAAATACCATATATATATATATATATATATATATATATATATATATATATATATATATATATATATACACACAGGTTCATTAAGTCACTATACAGTTACTTATAATAAGAATGAAAGCATTGAAGCAGGTGGATTGCAGTTCAAACATTATCGATAATTAATTTACTATTGTTTTTTCCATAGCATTTTATTATTAACCAAAATCATTTTGTCTTGACTGTTGATTAATTGCTTTAATATATATGTATAGTCACTTTATTGCCAGCCTGTATACATATGTATATATATATATATATATATAGAGAGAGAGAGAGAGAGAGATGTGAAAATATGCAAATATGCGTGAGTAAACAGATTCATACTTGCGTACGTTTGTTGCTAAAATGTCCACTCAAGGGTATCTGTAGCCTTGTTTTTTCGGTCGCACCCCTGACTGTGCGTGTCGCCACTAACGAGCATTACTGTTTCCTGTGTCCCCCGACTACACCACGTGTGATGTGCTACACCTGGTTCCTCATTCCAAAACATCTGATTATGGCTGATATGAATTCCTTTTGATAGCACCATAATGAAACAACATTTTGTCACAGGCCGTAACCATCGCCCGGAAGAATTCAGAATGTACCTTACACATGTCCTTAACTCGCGTTCTTTCCTTTTTTTTCTCCACCTGTCACTTCCTCCCTCCCTTCCCATCTCACTCTTTTTCTTTCTTTCTTTCTTTCTTTCTTTCTTTCTTTCTTTGGCGTTGCTCATTTACTGGCGCATGTCTGTACATACATACATACATATATATATATATATATATATATATATATATACACAGGCACATATATACATACATCTCTCTATTTTTCTCTATATATATATATGTATATATATATGCAATTTTTTATATATATTATTTATATATTATATATCCGCAGTACTTCTTGGAATGCGCTCAATATCAGTGATAGAGCTAACATATTTAGTTGGATTGAACTCACATCAGTTCAACAATCCAACTATATATATATATATATATATATATATATATATATATATATATATATATATATATATATATATGGCGAGAGAGAGAGAAAAAAGGAGAGAATAAATTTTAAATTAACATTCACCTAATAAATATATCTTGTGTTAATTTTCCTCTCTAAATATTAACGGCATTTATTTTTAATCCGCCCTTTTTATTACTATAAATTTCAAATTTCAAATACGTCCACTATAATAACGTTTGTAGTAAATGAAGTGTCAACTGATTGGAGACATTTTTTTTTTTTTGCCTGAGTCTCGCCTGTATTTTTCATTCATTCTTTTTTTTCATTTCTAATGTCTAATTTCTATTCATTTTTCTCCTTTCTTCTTTTTTCTTTAATTTTATTTCCTTGTTTTTTTTTTGTCTGTCTATTTTCCTCTTCCTCTTTCCTATGAATATACTTGATAAATAGTTCAGCATGTCTAGCAACCCCCCACCCACCACCATTACTATATGTCTCTTTCTAAAGATGGATATGAATATATATATCTATTCCTCTTATTTTACCTTCCTGGTTTTGTTTACCTATCTTTCGTCTTCCACTCTCTCCATCATGTACCATGCTTGATATACGCTTAGGCGATCATGTATCTTTCAAGGCAGATTTTTTTTTCCCGCAGCAGGTTGCCATTTCTTTCTGCGGTAAGGCATCCAAGTCTATAGAACCCGGCCCGTTCTGCTATTTACCCATAGCTGGGGGAGAAGACGAGGATTCATACCTTTCCTTTAGCACGTAAGTGAATGTAATGGATTCGACTGGAATTCGAACTCGGCTCTCCGATTCCTCAATCAGCTATCCATTACTCCACCGTACCCACTCATTCTTCCACTCTCTCCATCACCTTATTCATTTGGAGAGATATATATCTCTCTCAACTCTTCCTGCCCCCAATTTAAACTAGTTTCCAGAAACAAATGTGTGCATAAATTAAAAATAATAATATATAAATCTTTTTATGCCTGGAAAATTTGTCATCCATTTATGGTCGATCTAAGGAATTAGGATCGAATTTCGATCCAAAGGAAATAAATTATAATCATCATGAAACCTTAAAGTTGTCTGTTTCTTAATAATAACTAATGTTTGCTCTGTTCTTTCATTGAGCTCTCTGGATTATATCATCCTTGGAATTATCCATATATATGTTTTGAACAATAAAAAATATTGAAAACTTAAAAACTTAAAATTTTCAGACACACTGGGTTGTATATTAATATTTTTTGTTTTATTATTTCAATTAGGTTCCTCGACTAGTTTCGGTCAGCATGGCCATCATCAGGAGAAAGAATTCCTGCTTGTTAGTTGCAGTGAACTACAGGAATGAATGAATGAAGAAAATGAACTTTATCTGGAGTTTTCACTTGTTTTTTATCGATAATTTTGGTCAGTCCTTGTGTTGGTCAAACGGCCTCTTTTAAGTTGTTTTTAAGATAGAAGCTGAATAGATTCATGCAAATATGTTTGGTTCTTTGTTAATTGCTTCTTATTTCGTCCATTTTATTTTTCTATATTTCAGACTATTTTCCTAGATTTTAGTAAACGAAAGTTCTGTTCTATTTTATATTGTGTATATTATAAATGAAGATACTAGTGTTTATAGAAATATAACCTCTATTGTTTCTTCGAACATCATTCTATATGTCAACATGTTTATAGATGCCACATTGGTAAAATATTTTAGATTTTAATGCAAAATACAAGACCAATTAATGTTCAGCCTCTTCCCTTGATTAAGCCTTAAGCCATCCAAATGATTCTGCAAACCCCTAAACAAGTGATAATCAGAAATAGCAGAGAAAATATAGTAGATGAAGCATTTCTTCCCAAATAAGCGCCTCAAAGAGATATTTAGTAAATCGTGTGTGTGAAGATGGCCTTTATTGTGATGGAGGACTACTTTCTTTCATAGACTTTTTAGATAAATGTTTTTTTGTTCAAAGCTGCTTTCAAACGACAAAGTTCTTGGCAGTAGAGATAAGCGTTGATTGTTTAATTATTGTCATAGATGATTCCTTCAATATCCCATCATACGCTCCATATGATCTTTTTTTGTACTGATTTCTCCTTTCGGTTACCGAAGAGTTTCCTCGACTGATCGATCCACTGACGACGGCACTTAACATTATGGGAAAAAGATTAAGGTCTCATCAGCAGTAACAAGCCTGTCCAAAAAGTGCACGTAGCATTCTCGTGTCAGCAATGACTCGACAACATGCGATACGTTGTTGACGATTCTCTGAAGACAGGTCATGTGGGACCCATTTTTCACGCACTGAAACCTTTCCGATCGTTTTCATTTTGCGTAGAACTGTCGTATAGGAAACGTTAAATTCCTCATCGAGTGGCAGTATTTGCTGTAAGAGAAGCTTCTAAATCCTCTGAATCAAATCGTTTTGGATGAGCTTTAAATTCCTCGTTCTCTTAGACCAAAACTCACAATTTTGAAACGAGAAAAATACCTCCAGCAATTTCTTTCACGCAATACATCGATCACATAAGCGCGTTGTTTGGATTTTTCTACCACACTTGCGTTGATACCATTATGAAACTCATAGAGTGTTGTGGCCTTGTTAGAGTCAGAAATAACGACACGAGAGAGGAATTGAGTTAAACAAATATATTAACAGAAACAGTAATACAAATATACAAACGAGAGTGTTACAGCAAGAATGTTACAGTCCGACTGTCAGAGCTGACTGCTAGAAACTTTCCACTCCAAAAAGGCAGTACCTGCTCCTATTTATAGCTGGGAGATTCCATGCGTGCGTGCGTAAATTACCATAACATAGAGTAAAAATATTCTAGTCTTTTAGTTTCAACGAACATTGGAGAAAGTTCCGAACTATATTATGAGTAACATACTTATAATCTGAACGAGAAAGATATAATTTACATTGCTAAACGACATAAGGCAATAATCTATATATAAAATTATGTCACTTCCGTCCATCTGTCCGTCCGTCACACCCTCTAAAATAGCCATACATTGACCGATCGAAATCAAATTTTGTGTAGAATGCAAAGAGTTAAGGGGGTATAAATACAATAGGTTTTACTAGGGTGCATAGCTTAGTACAATAAATTTCATTCATTCTTTTGGAAAAGTTAAGTTTTATTATTTAACATAAAAACACTATTTTAAAAACAATTCAATGATTAAAATAATAAATACTTATTTAAAAAAATGCAATATTGTTTTTCGTATATTTTTTCTTTAAGTTTTAATATACTAGAATCTTGTTTCCAGTTCATCCTGCATTTGCGGGAACTATAAATAAATCACAAGGTCAAACGCTTCAAAAAGTTGGAATTTCGCTTCAGAAAGAAATATTTACGCATGTTGCTGCATGCTCAAGAATAAGAAATTCTAAAAGTTTATTCTTCAATACTAAAAAGGAAAACTGGAAAAAAAGAAATTTTCTTAAAAAAATATTGTTAATCTGTAAGCCTATAAAATTAAATTAAAGAAATTATTAAACTGTGAAATAGGGTTTTTGTCAATGTATTTTTCCAAAGTATTCGAACGAAACGTAGAGTTTTTAAATCTCGACAAAAATGTTAACGATAACTTTAACAATACTAAATATTGTGAGAGTTTTAACACGCGTCAGCTTGTTGCAAAAAAACATATATGTAAAATGTATATATATATATATATATATATATATATATATATATGTAATTTTTTATATATATTATTCATATATTATATATGCGCGGTACTTAGTGGAAAGCGCTCAATACCAGTGATAGAGCTAACCCAGGGTCACAAACTCACATCAATCCAACCACATATATATATATATATATATATATATATGGATAGATAGATAGATAGATAGATAGATAGAGAGAGAGAGAGAGAGAGAGAGAGAGAGAGAGAAATATATGCGTAAAGTAAGTGTGTGTGCATGTTTATTCATAATCTATAATCTATTTATATTTATCTACCTTTTGCTGAAGTTGATTCGCCAATATATATATGTATAGATAGATCAAAAAAGTTCAAGAATATTAATGTCGTCCGAAGTTGACTCCGATCGAGGCTGCTTGGTAGTTTTCAATGTTTATATTTATTTGGGTTTTCATCCCAATGACAATCCTATCTAACCCGTTCTTTATAACTTTCTATCACTTTCATGTTTCAGCATATTCTTTCTTTCTTTCTTTCTTTCTTTCTTTCTTTCTTTCTTTCTTTCAGACACTGGTACATGCCTTTTCTCTCATGTCTTTGTATTTCTTTTTCTTTAGCTTGTCTTGGAATCTCTTTCTATCCTAACTAGTTTTTTTTCTTTCTGTCCTTCCTTTTCTCTCCGTATTCTTTTCTCATACTTTTTCTATTCTTCTCATTTTCTTTCTTTCTTTCTTTCTTTTTTACCCTCTTTTTTATTGTTTTTGTTCCTCACTTGTTTCTATTTTCTGTTTACTCCAATACTTCCCTCTATATTGCTTTTCACTTCTCTCATTCTTTCTTTCTCATTCTCTCTCCTACTTTCTCTCTCTCTCTCTCGTGCAGTTATTCCTTTTCCCTCTTCTTTCCCGCTTTCCTCTTTCTTCTTCGCTTACGCCTTTTCATTTATCTCGCCATTTTATTTCAAGTGGTTTCTTATGACAAATTCATTCTTTCTTTCTAGATTGTCTCTCAAACTCTGTCGCTCACTAATATATTTATCTCTCTCTTTCTCTTTTACTACTGTTTCTTTTATTTACTCTCTCCAATCTCTCAATTTCTCTCCTTCTCCATCTATCTCTTTCAAACACCTCCACATACAGTTTTTTTTAACTCTCATGTCATTTTCTTTTCTTTCTTTTTCTATTAGCCTGTCTCGCAACCTCTCTTTTTATGCTAAACATTTTTCTCTTCTTGCTTTTCTTGCCCTATTCTTTTCGTATACTACTTTCTCTCTCTCTCTCTCTCTCTCTCTCTCTCTCTCTCTCTATCTATCTATCTATCTATCTATCTATCTATCTGTTTATCTGTCCTTCATTCACAAGCATTTTTAGATTCTTCTCTTTCTCTTACCTTGCCATGAGAAAATGTTTCTTTTTTCCTAGTGCCCCCTCCTAGACTCTCTTTTCGTACTTCTCTGTTCCTGTCCTGCCATTTTTCTATCGCTTTCCTTCTTCTTCTTCTTCTTCTTCTTCTTCTTCTTCTTCTTCTCTCTTTTTCTCTCTCTCCCTCACTCTCTCTCTCCCCTCTCTCTCATTTTTCTTTCTCTCTCTCTCTCTCTCCATTTACCTCCATTCCACTACTGGCTACGGCATCGTAGACGTTTTCGTGGCACGTTTTCGACTCAAGTCAACATGTCGATGCGCACAATGGCAGCTCGTTAAGCCCATTACTTGGTGGGCTTAAGTGGCGGAAATAGAAATGGGAAATACATTTGCAGGAAGTTGGTGGCTGGAGGGATATACAAGAAATGGGTAGTCGCTTTTCAATGGGGAAACAAAAGACGAAATATGGGAGACTTTCCCACTCTCCAGATGAGAAATCTGTTGATGTACTCCAGTTTTACGTGTTCTCTTAATTATTATTATCATTATTATTATTAGCATCATCTTTTTTACTTTCGCCCTAATAATCATATTTACATATATATAGTTAGATGTCATTAAATATATATTTACATTATTTTAATGTATCTACATTAGAAAGTGTTTTCCTTGTAATTTGAGTTACTAGATAGATAGATAGATAGATAGATGTAACGAACAGACTAAGAAAGAAGAAAAGAAAGAAAGAAAGAAAGAAAGAAAGAAAGAAAGAAACAGATTGAGCTAGATCGATAGAGAAACAGAAAGAAAGAAAGATAGAGAGAAACGAACAAACTGATATGGAAAGGAAAAGAAAAAATAATGTAACGGACAAAGAAAGAAAGAAAGAAAGAAAGAAAGAAAGAAAGAAAGAAAGAAAGAACTGATTGGAAAAGCCGAGCGGGCATTCATTAATTAAGTAGTGGAGCAGGTAGAGAAATATTAAGTAGATCTCATTACGAATTTGGAATAATATCATGGTGTCCAGGGCATGATGAATAAGTTCACTGACTTATATTATCTCTAACATATTAAGGTAGAATTTATAGGCCATTTAAATCATGCGCGTGACTTTAAATTTCCTTATTAGCTTCAAGTTTTCTTAATCCATTTCATTAATGATCACCTTATAAAAATATTCAAAGTTCATAATAATTTATTTGTCTCATTATACTAATTTATAGCAATCTATCATATTATTCTTATACGGTCTTGTGCGATAATGAAGAGTGAAAATATTTAAACTATACAGTGACTTAGATGACGTTTGTCTCTGGATTTTTCACGTTCAATATTAATTAAATGGACTATGCTCTGCTTTTTTATATTTAACTGATAAAGAGTGTTTCATTAAGATGGATCAAAGTCAGCAGTAAATAAATCAATGTTATTAGTGAAAAATTATTTATTTTTTATTGGATCATGCTATTTAAGTCATGACGATTATGTGTGAAAAATAATATCGCCCAAATGTCCGCCAAATCTGAAAGAAAAAGAAAAAAAAATTAGACGCTTAAATTTAATTTTCATTTACAATCGGTTCAAGTTATTGTAACACCCTTTATTACTTCTGTGCAAATGATTCCAGCGAAAAACCGGTTTCAACCGTGATTTCCAAAATGAATTCTTGGAACATTCACGTACTTCTAATGATATTTTGTTGGAGCCAATCCGAAAAATAGTTTGGTTTTAAAACCGAGCTATATTTATATAATTCATAAAAGGTTGATAAACCATAAAATCAGATCAATTAACAATCCATCATTCTGGCTCAGACTTCTTCGGTCATCATAGCAATTCCCTACTAATTTCTACTTTAGAAAAAAAAAATTATATTTCGTCATACGTTGCACGTTAATTCAAAACACCTTTTCTTTGTAACAGAAAAAGAAGGTATTTATAAGGTTTAACCTATAAACATAAATAAAATCTGTAAGGCAGAACATCATCAACAATTATTCTTCTACGTACCGTGTCCTTTCAGGACGTTGGCTCTCCTGGCCCTCCACAACTCCTTGACCTTTGTAGCTCTTAATAAATGTTATTCTTTTGTTTTCTCTTCTAAACCGTCTTCCCTTTCCAGTCTCCGTAGAGTCCAAAAGCGTCTCCGCGCGGGTGAGAAATTATCTTCCACTCTACATCCCTTTTCTCGCAGACGAAAAGTCGCAAACATCTCAATGCTCTATCGTTATCTTCCTGGAAAGTGCTCAGACGAACTACATTACTTAGTTCCACCAGTTCTAAATTTAACAGTTTAGACGCCCCATGCTACGCACATGGTAGCGAACCAACCTTATTCCCTTCGCATTGGGGAGATATATGTTTCACTCGAGCAGCCTCTCCCACGGACAGCTGCTTTGTGAAACCGTCTCCTAAGAGGATGCTTCTTCGATCATTACAGTTTTAATCAGTTCTAATGTTAGCCGTTATCTTCATATATTTGTATAAACTATGCCTCTTACTCTATAACACTCTACCTCTTTACGGTATCTATTTACAAAATCTGGCTAGGTAGGCTATGCGTTCTTTTCTTCTTGGGGTGAATTGATTTTTAAAATAAGCATGTATATATATATATATAGCCAGAAATTGTCTCTTGTGGAAACGTTCGTGGTTTTAAGCAGTACTGTAAAAATGACAAATATTCTTGATGATGAAAATTCCTTCCAAACCGAGAAGTCCAATAATTCTTTCGGAAAACTGCATGTACGCCTACTGTCTCAGCATGGAATTTCGACTGAGACGAAATGGAACGTTTAAAATATTTGTGTTTTGACGTCATTGTTATATGTAAGATCTTGGTTATTCACCGGAGACGCATAAAAAGGCTGGGTCCATTTTACCAACATTGCTCCGCTCTCCATTGGATATACGATGGCAAATATACCAGAGTGAGGTTGACAACCTCAAACACAGTCAGTCTACCAGAATTAAATCTCTGGTACTTCAACGTCGATTAAGATGGATTGGTCATATGGTCCAGATGAAGAACAAGTAATAATAATACCGAAGTAATTTATGTAAGATGAGTTGACAGAAAGATAAAAACAGCACGCAAGGCAAAATTGGAGTATAAAGATTGCATCAAGAGCGCAATGCAGGAGGCCAGCATTATGCAAAATGGCAGTGGAAACCTGGGTCTAGTTCGTTCATCCTGGAGGAAAGCAATGTGACAGAAAATTTGAACATAATCCTGTTGAGCATGGAGAATTCAATGGAGACGTTTGTAAGGGTTTTGATGTTAATTTGGCACAGAATTTGATCTAACGTGTAATGAATGCGGTAGCATCTGTCGAAATATGGTTCTTCTTCTTGGCTTGGTTTCGCGAACGAAGATTTATGAAGTGGACTGTCCACGTCGACTGCAGGCACGCTGTTAGCCTGGCGGACTAGGTCGATACGAGACAGGCAAGTCCGGCCGCAACTGGTCTGGTATAGCTGCTGAAGTTTCCCGGTCCTTCATCCCGCGATGTTTCTCCTGCAGGTTGGCTCTGCCAGAGTCCTCAAAGGTGGAGACGGCCTGGTGGACGGATGTTGGTGGTGTCACGGACGTGCGCTGTACTGGCCCCACACTTTACATCCGTGGTTCATTCGTATGGTAAGCAAAATCATCGAAGACGCCCCACAGAGTGAGAAGCCATTCGCTGAATATTATGTATCATTTCTACTAGCTGAGAATTTTTAAAATGCCCCTCATATGGTGGACTGAAACATCATATGAAATTTTACCAAAATATTAATGTAAGAACTACGGCAAGAAACGCCTAACGTATGTACGAACATGGAAAGTTATTAGACTGACTATGAATGCGTAATGCTAGAGCTCTGAAATCTTTCATTCATTAATTTACTTTCTTCTTATTAATAACTATATTGTTTCTTTCTATGTATACTGACATCTGACTGTTCAAAGAAGACTTCAAGTGTAACAACTAGCTACTTTCCTTTAAAAATGGATACATTTTGGCATCGTGGTGTCATCAAATAACTGAAAATAAGGGTTTAGCCAATGACATTCATGCTGATACGGTTCTTACATTAGGGGATGACGCCCCAGATTTATCAATAGTGCAAAAGTGGGCAGCTGAATTTAGGACGAGAAAGAAGAGACTTGAAGATAACCCAAGGTCTGGACATCCTGAGACTGCCATCACCGATGAAAACATTGATCATATTCATCACATGGTGAAGGATGACAGGCGACTGACAATAAATCAAATAGCAACTGCTATTAGCATATCCCGTGAGAGAGTTAAAACTATCTGGTACAAGGATGAAGGTTTCTGCTTGGTGGGTTCTACGTCTTCTGACAGCACACCAGGCTGATCACATCATGGGAAAATCTGACATTGTCTAGGCAGATCCAGCTGGTTTCTTTGTCAGTTTCCTAACCCAAGGTAACTGTTGGGTTCATCACTTTGACTTAGAGATATCAAGATAAATCATGCAGTGGAAAATCCCCTCTTCATCTGCGCCAAAGAAGGCTAAGTTCGCTTCATCTACAGGTAAGGTGATGGCCTCAGTTTGTGCGATGTCAAAAGCACTGTGTTTATTGAGTATGTTTAAAAGGGACACGCTATCAATGAAGTGTGCTATGCCAAATTGCTGAGACAGTTACGAAAGTCTATCAACTCCAAACGCACAGGAAAAACTGACGAAAAGGGTCTAGTTTCATGAGGACAATGCTCCAGCACACAAGTCCTTGGTTTCAATGGCTCCTATATGTGACTGTGGCTTTGAACTTATTGATCACCCACCCTATTCCCCTGATTTGGTAGCATCTGACTATCAACTATTCCTCAATATAAAAAAATACTTGCCTGGGAACCAAAATAAAAAAAAATCAAAAGCGCACCAGGCCGATCACATAACGGAAATATATGATATTGTTTGAGGCAGATCTAGCTGGTTTCCTTAAACGTTTCATAACCCAAGATTAGTGTTGGGTTCATCATTTTGAGCCAGAGACAAAGAGACAATCCATGCAATGAAAACACACCTCCACACTTGCTCCAAAGAAAGCCAAGGTGGTTTCATCTTCAGGGAAGTTGATGGCCTCAGTTTTTGGCATGCAAAAGGCATTGTGTTTATTGACTATCATCAAAAGTGCCGCATTATAAATGGAATGTACTATTCCAAATTACTGAGGCAGTTACGAAAGGCTATGTATACCAAACACCTTGTAAAACTGATGAAAGGGGTTTTCTTTCGTCAGGACAATACTCCAGCATACAAATACTTGGTGTCAATGGCTGCTCTGCGTGACTGTGGCTATGAAATTATTGATCACCCTCCGTATTTCCCTGATCTGGCCGCATCTGA